TTCCAGCAAACCCTAAATAGATTCCTGGATGTCACCTCACCGGAGGAATCAGGAAGGAACCGGGAAGGATGGGGATCCACGCACTCTAGGAGGCAGGGACGAGGCATCTGAACCCTATCTCAGAAGTCCATTTTTGTCCTTGGAATGTGTCGCTGGTGATCAGTCGCCACTTCCCCAATAGCCAAGGACCTTCGGTCTGGGGCGTCCTCCGCCAGCCGCAAGGGGGCGCGAATCTGGGAGAGCTGCACTCGGAAACCCCAGCTCTACCCCAGTCAGGGCTCCGGCAGAGGGTCCTGGCCCATTCTCGGAGCCACCGTGGTTGGACCGGGTGATCTGAGACCTCAGGCAATGAGTTGTGGACGCCTTTGCGCGATAGCTGGCCATCTCCTTGGTTCAGGGGGTCTGAACCAAGGAGAAGAACCTGTCCTCTCCTCCCTGTCCCTTTCGGAAGGGAAGTCTAACTCCTAATGAAGCTGGAATTCCAGCGCGGATGAACTCTGGAGCAGAGCTGGAGCTGATAGATGGAGGAGGGACGCATTTCCAAGTGGTTATCTCTTCTTTAGCTAATGAGCCTCTTTAGTCTTTCTTCTCTGGCTTGGATTTCGGTCTCTGCGAGATGTTTGTAATGGGGGTAATTCTGTCGCCCCGCGCACCCGCTCCGAGACTGCGAGGGTATCGTTCCTGCGCGGGTCCCTCGCCACTAGGCGCCGCTGCGCGCACACCGATCGAGGACTTGGGCTGCCGCGCCCGCCTTTCAAGAGGCCTCTGGGGAGGACGCCAGAAAGGGATTTGCCGTAATAATTTTTTAAAAAAAATGTTTTAAAGGTATTAATTCCACTTTTTGTTCCACAACACTGTCCTATGCATTCAGAGAGATCAAGGTGACTGGGAATCACAGTAAGTTGGAGGACTTCTTAGCCGGTCCCCAGGCCTCCCCATCACCGGACACCTTTTGCATGTCTTGGGCCAGGAAGGGGTTCACCCTTCGCTGTTATCGGCGCTTCCCTCGCGTCGCTGCCGTCGCACAGTAAGGACTTATGACTCTGGCCCACTGGGAGGATCCATACCGGGGCGACCCTGTCACAGAGGGAGAACTTCGGGTGGGCCTGATAGAACAAGGCCATGGCCTAACAATAACCAAAATTCGGTGAAAGCTAAGCCTACCTATTCCTCTCCACAACCGTCAAAATATTGATATTTCCTTTTTACAGATGGACAACCAGAACTCAAGAAGGTGGTCCAACAGGTAGTGACCCCAGATAGCCCCCAAGCACCTTAAGTGTATAGGCTGTGCACCCACTCCAGATAATGCTCAGACCTAGAAGGAAGCAGGTAAGGGAGAGAGACCGGGGTTTGCTCCTTTGCAGCACAGGGGCCTTACAGAAACTCAGAGCAAATGGTTATGAACCCCCACCTCCACCCCCACCCCCAGGAATCACTGTCCTTTGATGCCTCCAGAGAGCCAGGAATACAGGCTTCCCTCACCCTAACAACTCCTGAGAGTTGAGAGCCTTTGAGAGAGTATGGAGGAGCTTGGCAGAGTGTGAGACCAGCATCAGTGCATTCATACATCTTTATTGTTCACAGTCAGTGAAGCCCAACAACAAGCCCTGGTGGTGGGTAGGTAATAACAGCAACATCCAGTTCAGGTGATTTTATTAAAGTTCATTTGTGCCGGACACTGAACACTTTGCTTATCAAACAAGTCCAAGGGACAAGGTACTATTATTTATTCCCATTTGAGAGAAAAGAAAACAGAGGCACAAAGAGGTTAGGTAACTTGCCCAAGGTCACACAGTTAAGCTGTGAATGCATTTGGGCTTATTATTATACCTTAATAATAAGGTATAATTACATATGGTAAAATTACACTGTACTGTACAATTCTGTGAGTTTTGAAAAATAGTGGTGTAAGTACCATCGCATTCATAAAGTAAAACAATTCTACCCGCCGCCCCCCCCCAAAAAAAATTCCAGCTTCATTACTACCCTTTACTACCTTCCAGACAGTACTGGCTGTATTTTTACTTATGACAAAATGTCTGGAGAGGTTATAGTGTTGCCCAAGGTCGTTCAGTAAGTGACAGATCCGGGTCAGATCCTTAGCATGTGTCTGCTAGGCCAGCTGCCTGAAGAGCGTAGATTCCAGAGTCTAGAGTTAGGCGACGGCTTGGGGCACACACGCAGAAGGGAGGAAGCCCCGCTGCACGCATAGGTTTTGTGTGTTGTTTTGTTTATAAACCGGACGCCCACTTCTTTAACAGCGGAGAAACAAAGCCCAGGGGCGCATTTTACCACGAGTAAAGTGAAAGGCAGCTTTATGGACTAAGAGCTCAGGGTCTGAGCCCAGACCTGAGCTCCCAGCGCCCTGGCGCACCTCGGCCGGCCCATGCGATTAATGAGTGACTCTGCTAGTTAATTCCCCCGCACGTCGGGGCCGAGCTGCAAACCTTCCCGGGAGCCTCAGGTCGGGCGCATGAATTAGCATAGATTACCCAGCTTCCAGGGCTTCCGCACCGCCCCTGACTCACCGGAAACGCACTACTTCTTCCAGGGGGCCCGGAGCTGGGCTTAGGGTTAGCGGCGCTTGGGGAGGAGGCATGACTTGCTTCCTTCTAAAAGGCGGTCACTAGACATCGCTGCTCCCTCACTCTTGCCCACCTGCCCACCAGCCAGAACACTTGGGGTTACCCTATCCCTAAAGGGCAGTTTGCAAGAGGCGGGTGGGCTTCGGAGGATGTCACAGGACAGAAGACAGAACAGTTTGGCCCCTGCTCCAGCCAAATGTCCCCCATTGGGCATGAGGCTAAGGGGCCCAGCCTTCAGTCTGTCACTCACTTAAGACATTCTCCCAGGGTCCTGGCCCAAAAGGTGAAAGGTTAAGAAAGTACCAAATAAACTTGAAGCACTTAGGGCTGAAATTTTTAAATGATGGAAACACCTTCCATAGCATACACTATTGGGGTCTCACCCAATCTCTCAGACAGGACTACATTCCCTTTGCTCGCAAGGTCAATGGCTTTTATACTTCCAACCAAGATCACTAGTGCTAGCTGTGCAACAAATGACCATTCCATGCCCCATGGCCTGGGCAATACTTTAGTGACCCTGCTTTGGAGCTTCAGAGTCTCAGGCCTAGTGTGGCGGCCTGGTCTAGATTTCCTACAAGGATCACACAGAGAAGGTGCCCCCCTCCTTCTCTCCCTCTCTTGCTTGCTTGCCACAGGATCCAGGATCCACAGTTTACCCAAATTGGATGTCTCCAGCTTCAGATACCTCAGGACTGATCCCTGGCTCCACTGGAGCTGCTGCCTAGGCACAGCTCAAAGACCTCTACCCTTCACCGTGGCTTTAGGCTCCCTGCCAGTGAGGGCTTGGTGGGGCTATTTCCATAGCTTGGTGGAGGGAAGGACTTCTGAGGTGGTTTTGGTTTTGGTTTTTGGTTCAAGTCTGAGGAGTGTGTAGCTTTTGAATATACCCCTATCCCAAGATCCAATGCCCAGAATCTTTAAACTTGGAAAAGGTGTGTGTGTTGGGGGGGGGGCGGGGTTGACAAAGCAAGCCAGTATAGAAAAGACAAAGGGTACAAACTGGGCCAGGACTGGGATCTGGAGCTGGTGATGCAGATTTTTGAAGCCTGAAATAGGAGGAAATTTTTCCCATCATGAAGGCAAAGATGAGGCCTACACCTGTGTGTGTGTGTGTGTGTGTGTGTGTGTGTGTGTGGACATGCATGCACATGATCTCTGTGGACTTCCTACTAATCTGTTTAAAGCCCCAACAACACCAGAAAAACACCTCTCTCCCAACGCCTCTTTTTCCTTGAAGATTTCTCTCTTGGAGGAGTTTCTGGACAATTCCCTCAGCAAGCACAACACTATAGGTGAAATAAAGTTCAGAAATTGACACAGCCAAGGGAAGTCAGATGCAGTCGGGAGAGGTAAAGAGGAAGGAAGGGAAGGAAGTAGCTGAGGAATCTGGGGGCATGTCCTAAGACCCAGATCCTTGGCTGAATCTGGTGGCATTGCAGCCTCCTTCTTGAGGACTTCACTTCTCCCCCATCCTGAAGGATTTCTAGGTTTCACGGAAACCAACCTAGTCTTCAAACAGGCATTTCTTTCTCCTTAAGATAAATGACATGGGCCTGGGAGTAATAGATTTAAAGGATGCCAGGATTTTTTTTTTTATCATTAATTGTAAACGTGCAAAATACCTGCTGGTACTTCACTTTAGAAGAATGTAATTGGTAAAAGGGTGGGGGAGGAAAAAAGAGGCGGCTGATGAATAGATAATAGATCTTTAACCACCAATAAACAGAGAGCAGCGCCAGCAGCCTGGGGGATGTGATCATAATTATGCCGCTACGCGAGCCAATAGGGACAAGAGAACTGGGCCCTAAAATCATCCCAAAACCGAAGGCAAGCTCGAAAATGCGGACACGGTCTGGGACCGGAGACACCATCCACAGTCCTTAGTTGCTAGTTCTGGTTTTGCACAGCAACCCAGCTCAGGGACAACAGATGGCAGAATAATAATAGAAATAATAATAATAGCAGCAATAATAACAATGTCAGCACTAATAAAAATAATTCCGGCAACAGAACGGTAGTAATAGCACCGCACCAACTGCTCCCTAACCTTGGTACCCCGGTCCCGGATATCTCAGAAGGAGTCGTTTTTTGGGGGGGAAAGGAGGTGCGCGCTTTTCCAGGCTGAAAAAAACTAGAGGCTGTGGTTTGACAGCGGCGGGGAGGTGGAATCGCACAGCCCGGGAATGGTTAGAGGCTCCAGTCTCAACTTGCAAACGAACCAACCGGGTCAAGGATCGCGAACGCGCGGACCCCGGAACCTCGAAGCTTACGGGTGGTTAGAAGGGTGGGAGGACACTCTCCATCCCCCACCCCAGCCTAAGAAACCGCCGGGATTTTGCTGGGGGTGGGGATTGCTATAACCGAAAGGCGCCTTCAGTCCTCGCCCGGAACCAGTCTCCGCCCGCTTACCCTCGCCGTGCTCCCGGGGCGATCCCAGCTCCCCAGACGCAGAGCCGCCGGGTGCAGCTGCGGTGGAGCGCTGAGCGCGAGCAATCTGCCTGTCGGTCGTTCCTACAAGCTCCAGTGCAGCAGGCTCGGGATCCAGGGGGCTGCAGTGGAGGCGGTGCGGGCCCGGGACTCTGCAGGGACCCGGGTGCCCCGGAGGGAGTGGTGGTGGTGGAGGAGGAGGCGGTGGCTGAGGGGGAGGAGGTTGGAAAAGAGGAGGAGGAAGAAGAGGAGGAGGAGAAGAAGGAGGAAGAGGAGGAGGAGAGGAAACCGGAGGAAGAGGAGGAGGCGAAAGAGGAGGAGAGAAGCCTCAGCGGGCGCCGGGGGAGCGAGTGAGCTTGGAGAGCCGGGCGAAGGCACGAAGAGGTCGAGGGACCGGGCGGGCGGCAGGAGGCACGGCCGGGGCAGCGGCGCCGACTCCGTTCCACTCTCGGCCCAGATCCAGGCCTCCGGGTTCCCAGGCGCTCGCCTCCCTCTGACGCACTTTAAAGAGTCTCCCCCCTTCCACCTCAGGGCGAGTAATAGCGACCAATCATCAAGCCATTTACCAGGCTTCGGAGGAAGCTGTTTATGTGATCCCCGCACTAATTAGGCTCATGAACTAACAAATCGTTTGCACAACTTGTGAAGAAGCGAACACTTCCATGGATTGTCCTTGGACTTAGGGCGCCCTGCCCGCCTTTTGGAGAGGAGAGAAAACTTTTTTTTTTGCCTCCCCCAAGAAACTTTCCCCCCCTCTCCTCCCTGCTTCTAACTCCGATCCCCCCCCTCCACGCCATCTCGCCAAAAAAAAAAAAAAAAAAATCACCCGAATCCACGCCTGCAAATTCTTCTGGAAGGATTTTCCCCCTCTCTCCAGGTTGGGCGCGTTTGGTGCAAGATTCTCGGGATCTTCGGCTTTGCTTCTCCTTCCCCTCCCCCTCCTTTCCTTTTTCCTTTCCTTTTTTTCTTCCTTTCCTACCCCCACCCCCACCCCAAACAAACGAGTCCCCAATTCTCGTCGGTCCTCGCCGCGAGCACCGGGCGGCGGAGGCAGCGTGCCACGGTCGCCGGGAGCAGGGAGCCTGGGGCGCCCGCTCCTCGGCGCAGCATGTTCCAGCCGGCGCCCAAGCGCTGTTTCACCATCGAGTCGCTGGTGGCCAAGGACAGTCCCCTGCCCGCCTCGCGATCCGAGGACCCCATCCGTCCTGCAGCGCTCAGCTACGCCAACTCCAGCCCCATAAATCCGTTCCTCAACGGCTTCCATTCGGCCGCCGCCGCCGCAGCCGCGGGCAGGGGCGTCTACTCCAACCCGGACTTAGTGTTCGCCGAAGCGGTCTCGCACCCGCCCAACCCCGCGGTGCCAGTGCACCCGGTGCCGCCACCGCACGCCCTGGCCGCCCACCCCTTGCCCTCCTCGCACTCGCCACACCCCCTCTTCGCCTCGCAGCAGCGGGACCCGTCCACCTTCTACCCCTGGCTCATCCACCGTTACCGATATCTGGGCCATCGATTCCAAGGTACGTGCCACGTCGCGGGACTGCGGCGCGCGGCTCCCGCCGCATCCCTCACTGCGCCCGGCCTGCTCCCGGTGGGCACTTAGCAAGGCCTGGGCGGAGGTTCCACCGGCTCTCCGGCCCACGCGCCCGGTTTGAAAACTGGGCAGCGAAGGGCGGCGGCGAGGGTGTTGATCCCCGCTCTCCCAAACTATGGCTGGTTTGGGGTTCTGGCCCGCCCGCCGCTTGACCTTTTGAGAAGGGGCGCGGACAGAGTTGTCCCCGTGTGCGCTTGAGTCTGGCTACGCCAGAGCAGCCTGCTAGGCGTGCCCGTCGCCAGGGAGCCCAGAAACCGCTATGTCTTTAGACTCGCGGTCCCCTTGGTCCGAGGGCCACGGACAGGGCCGCCAGGTTCACCTACGACTGCGTTCTATTCTGTTCACCACCATTCCACGCCCCTTCATCCCAGACCCGCGACTTCAGTCTTCGACCCTTCTACCCAGAACAGGGGACTCTTGTGACCCCGGAGCAAAGTGTGTTTCCCCCTGCTTTTTGGAGGCCCAGCGAGGGGCGGAAACCCGAGCGGGTAGCAACCTCCGGGGCTCGGCTCTCTCGCAGCGACCTGCTTAATTGGGGCGCGGAGCGGCCCCGGCGGGAAAGCAGGTTCGGTCTGGTTTTTGTTTTTCTTTCTTTCAAAAGAAATGAACCAGGTCGAAAGACGGCCTGGGAGGGAAAGATCTGTTTGGGTGTCTTCGTTTCTCGCTATTTAAAAATTTTGTTTTTCTCTAGTTGGGGGTTGGGAGGAAAGTTAAAACTTCGGAAAAAGCGGCGAATAATTAGTTTGCCGATTGGAGTCGGATCCAGTTCATAATAGACCGACCTCAGGCGGCAGCCGATCAATACTCAGAGCCTTGTCTGTCCATTAACCCTTTACATTCCCTCCAGAGTCTGGAATTGGGTAGATGTCACACCCCTCCCCAGAGTTTAAAAAAACAAAAACAAAAAAGCAATCCAAACCAAACCAAAGAACTTTTTGCCCTTACTCCTGATCAGAATTTGCCTCCATTCCCGCCCGGACTGTCGGTCTGTTTTCTTTGTTTGTTTGTTTGTTTGTTTGTTTTGGTGAATTGATTTCCTACTCAAATGAGTGAACCCAAAACATTGGATTTCCTCTCAAAGTTCAGGGCTTCCCTTCTCCATTCTCTGCCAGCTGCCCTCTTGGTCGCCCCAACAGATCTGGAGCAACCAGGATCTTCCCGGGCCGCAGACCGTCCTGGCTGGTGCCGGCAAATCGTAACCCCTGGGTTTCGATCCCATCGCTCAAGTCTCTCCCAGTTCTTTGGAGCCGGGGACCACCGGAGTCAGGTCATCGGGAGGCAGCGGCGGTAGAAACCGGGCACACCAGCCTTGAGATTCTTGTCGCAGTCCGGCTACAACGACTCTCCTGGCCTCGGTACTTTCTCCGAGGCATAGCAAGACAAAAATAAAAAAATTGAATAAGTCCGCGAGAAAATTCAGGATAGCGGTCCGCTGCCTCTCCACACTGAGGTCAAAGTTTTCTGAGAGGCTAGAAAGAAGAGAGATTTCTGTGGGTGGTGGGCACCAATCTCTCGGCCGGTCTCTGCTGCCCCCTCCTCTGCCTCGGACGCCAGGAATTGGAGTGTGAGGCCCGCGGCTCCCGGGCGGCTGCGGAAGCCCGCCACGGTCCGGAGCTGGGGACTGGCCCCACTCGGGCAGCTTCTGGTTGTGTGCGGCACAGGTGGATCCCCGGCTGTCCCGGGCTTGGCAGCTAAGCCGGCTTCCCTCTCGCGCTCCTGGGGAGGGCCACCAGCATCCGCAGGTCTAGAGCCGCAGACTAGGTGGAGGCCTTGAGCGCTCTGCCCCGTCAGCCCGGCTCGGGAGAAGCGCGCGACTCTGACCAGAGCCGCCACCTAATGGCACTTCTGCTGTGCCCCCTGCAGGGAACGACACAAGCCCAGAGAGTTTCCTTTTGCACAACGCGTTGGCCCGAAAGCCGAAAAGGATCCGAACCGCCTTCTCCCCGTCCCAGCTTCTAAGGCTGGAACACGCCTTCGAGAAGAATCACTACGTGGTGGGCGCGGAAAGGAAGCAGCTGGCTCACAGCCTCAGCCTTACGGAAACTCAGGTGAGAGCAGCCAGGAGCCAGGACGTCCCGTCTAGGCAGAGGCCCCCTCATCCCAATATAAGGACCCTGGTAGCTGGCACCCAGCACACCCACAAGTGCTGAGCTCCGACAGGGCCTTTGCAAAGGGCCCTGTGGTTCCTTTCAAGCCAGGGCTCTGGATTTATAACTTCCCAGTTGCCCAGCTTCCCTCGGCTCCAGCAAGGAGGCTCTAAGAGTCTAAGCGCTGAGTTGCTCCTTCTGCCTAGCTGTACAGGCCTTGAAGCCTCTGGCTAGATACCTCTATAGTTTTGATGAGACTTTTGGTAAGAGTCATGGGGTGCAGGATGAGGGAAAGTGAAGCGGCCTGTCTGGGTGATTGAGGCTCAAGGTTGGAGAGGTAGAGAGCCGGTTAAGGGAGAGTTCTGAGCGACTCAAGGCCCAAGGCTCTCATCATAAGCCCCAGTTACTCTTCTCAAGGAAGGAGAGTCTTGGAAGCTGGAGGCCAAGAGTGCTGGGTGCAATCGAAATCAGAGAAATTGAATTTGAAGATTGCAAAGAGGGCCTGGGGGATAGGCCCTTCTGCTCAGCAGGGTCCCGAGGCCAGCCTGGCTTGGGCTTGTCCCAAGGCGGGGAGGGGGCTTGGGGCTACTGTAGGCGCTACTGTACGGGGAGCCCCAGGGCGGGGTCAAAGTTCCCAACAAACAGTAACATTTTCGAGCAGATTAAGTTGTAACACTTTTTCTGGGAAGCGCAAAAAGGTCGAGGCTTTTGTTTTTAAAGCGGTTCCCCCTGGACAAAACTGAAGAGGGCCTCGCGGGTTTGTGCGGGGCGGGCACAAGGCGCGGCCCGGCTGATTTCTCCTGGACAGGCGAGGCGGCGGTGGTCTTTGTCCGCCTCGCTGCCACGCTGCCTGGAGTCTTTGTGTGCGTGTCAAGCCCCGAGCGCACCGACGCGCGCCTTGGGCGAGCGCCGGGGGAGAAATGAACCGTCCTCCCCCTCAATTAGCAAACTCAAAGCAAATTAAACTCAGCCTTGTTCCCGCTCAGCTTTTCCATGGGGCACTTTGGGGGACTGCGGCATTCGGGGAGAGCAAGCGGACCCGTGGTGTCTTAAGGGAGAGAGTGGGCGCGGGACCTCGAGGGCACTGCTCTGATATACTCCCAGGCATGTGGAAGGTGCGGCAGTCACGTATTTCTAACCAGGACCCACTGCGGGAAGCTTGGACAAGGGCTACTGTTTAGTCTGGTTGCGGGTGGGGACCCAACACCCAGTTTTCCCACGGGGCCATCGAATCTCAGCTGACTCCAACCTCATTGGTCTCCGGACCTCTAGCAGTTGCTCTGGAGAGGCCGGGCTGCCTGCTCTGTCTGCCTTGGTGGGAAGTGATGTGGCCCAATCTGAGGTTGACCCCTGGCCTGTTCTGGGCTGGATAGGAGGGAGGAATATGGGGACTCTCTCTTTCCCCTTCCTCTTTGTCAGTTTCTCTTACTTCCCTCTATTCCGCAGTCTTTCTCGAGCTTTCACTTTTGAACCCCATTTCCTGGCTGGAAAGGCAAGGCTGGGTTAGTCCTCAGTCCCTTCTCCCCACTGTTCCTTGGCTTGCTCCATCTCAGCCCACTTTTGCTCACCTGCAGGGTCACTCAGCAAGGAGGCAGTGGCTGAGGCACATCCTGATCT